CGGGGGGGCTCCTGGGAGGGTCCAGGATGAGCCACTGGCTCGTGGCAGGCTCGTTGCAGGGCTCGTGGCACGGGAGGGCTCGTGGCAGACTCGTGGCAGGTGGAGGACTCGTGGCACGGGGGAGCTCGTGGCAGGATCGCCCAGAGTGCGAGGCCACGGAAATCCTTTTGGGACAAGTTGCGCTTAGGACATCGGCATTCCCCAGGGGCCCCGAGCGCCTCGACGCCGCGGAGCGGCTTCGGGCGAAGGCAAAGGCCCTGACATTCCGACGGGAGTTAGCACGAGGGGGGCCAAGAGAGAGCGGGGGGTTAGGGAGAGAGAGAGAGAGAGAGAGAGAGAGAGAGAGAGAGAGAGAGAGAGAGAGAGAGAGAGACAGAGAGAGAAAGAGAGAGAGACACACTCGATGCAACGGGGGGTCGAATAGGCGCACCGAGACTTTGTACCGATGCAGGGGGGCCGAGGCAGAGGGGCCGCAAGGTATGCGGAGCCATTCTTACCCCCGTCGCAGCAGCCGTGATAGTGAGGTGCCCCCTTCCCTTTTCGGGCAGCCCACTTGCGGGGCGCCGTGGGCCATGGCGTCATCTTCGAAGGGTGCTTCTTCTTCGGCCTCTCAGGGCCACAGCGGGAGCGGCGCGGTGTCCTACGAGGAGCAGATCGCTGTTCTCATGAGGGACCACGAGGCTGCGCGCCGCGCGGTGTGATATCCTCGTAGGGCTTCTGGGTTAGAGGGTAGAGCTGTATTACGAACAGTCAGTCGGTTCACGGGGTGCTCGGGTACGCAGTTGCGGGGTCGCGCTTGTGTCGATTGTTCTTCCCAGCTGCGCCTCCCAGGCTGCTGGCCGCTCGGGCCACCTCAGCCTCTGTCGATGGTTCGACACGGACTATTTGGAATGCTTCGCACTCCCAATTCTCCAGAGGGTGCGAGCGGTGCGGATGGGGAGGGATCGCGGATGGGTAGTGAGGGAGTGGGGCATAATGCGGTGGGCGGGGTTGGTTGGAATGGGAGGGGCACGGCAATGCTTTCAGTCTCGCCACCCCGTGCTGCTCACCCCTACGCGTCTCTCCTATCGATTGTTCCCTGCCTCATCCATCTCCCCTCCATTCGCTCTCTCATCCTCGCCACTCGCCTCCACCCATATTCCCCTTTCCTTCTCCTTAGCCCCCTCTCCGACACCACTCCTTTCGTTCCGCCCACTCGCCCTCGGGTCAGGAACGGTCAGTCGGCGGCCGCGGCGGAGGGAGGGTTTGCGGATGCAGATTTCGTGGCTTGGTCCATCCTCGACTGCTGATGCGCAGTTGGCGGACGCCGTAGTCCCTGGCCCCACGTTCTCGGGCGTCGAGTTCTGGGGCGTCGGCAACGACAAGCTCGGGTACGGAGTGTCGTCGCTCCCGACGCGCAAGGACCGCCTCTCGTTTGGCGCCGAAATGTCACGTCGTTTCGAACGCCGCATCGGGGTAGACACGTTTATATATGCAAAGCCCGCTTTGTTTCTGTCAGCTCGAGCTTCCCTCTCACTCCTTGAGCCGCTGCCCTATCTGGCCCGTTTCGATCCCCGTCCTCCCGCCCCGCACCCTGCATGACGCCCCCTCCCCCACCTCCGTGTCCCTGCCCTGTCTCCCCCATCCGCATTCGTTGTGCGCCCGCTCCGCCGTCCCAGGAGTTCGAGTGCTGGATCCAGAGCTGCGTGTGCAAGGACTTCGGCGGCCAGCCCGACGACAGCGGCCTCTACGATGGCGGGTGGAGGGTCGGCTCCTCGATCTGCGCCAGGTGGCCGTCGATGCCGCACCTCGAGAAGAGCCAGAACACGTACTTCTACAAGTGCGGCGGCAGCTCTGGCACGGACTGGGACTTGTGCAAGGTGAGCGGCATGTGCAAGCTCACGCCGTGGGCCATTGCCCTAGCACGCCTTGCCGTCTCGCATTCGCGGCGTCGAATGCCATCCGCCCGAGTGCCGTCTCATGCTTTTCCGTTGCCCCGTCCACGCTAGTTACTTCTTCTTGAGTTCAGCATTCGTTCCCCCCCCCCCCCCCATTCCCGAGCGGCCCTCAGAGCTCTGAGAAGAGAGCGTGATAGGGGTGAGGGGCGGGAGGAGGAGGATGAAGGAGGAAGTACGGGGTAAAGGCTAGGGCGGGGACGAGGCGGTGGGAGGGGGGCGGAGGACGAGTGGCGGCAAGATGAAGTTTGCGGGGGTGGACGGGAGGGCCTTGGCGTCAGCGGCGGCTGTGACGGCTCCGTCGTCGTCGCGGCAGTGTTCTAAGGAGCGCATCGTGGAGATCGTGAGGTTCGGCGAGATGGCGAAGGACGTCATCTCGGAGTGGCTGCCGCGGATGGTGTTCACTGGCCAGGTGCAGCCGACGCGCGGCAAGACGGCCGTGCCCGAGATCGTCGAGACCTTGCTGAAGCTGCTCAAGATGGAGCTGAAGCTCGCGACGGCGACGGTCTGGCGCGAGGAGATGAAGGCCGCGCTCGACATCCAGAAGAGGACGCTGGACGAGCAGAAGAAGAAGCAGCTGAAGGCACTTTGAGGGACGGTGGTAGGGGAGGGGGATGACGAGAGGATGAGGGGAGGAGCATCGAGAGGATGCGAGACGTAGTGTGTATGATGAGGCGGCGTGAGATGCGGGCAGGGCGAGGACGAGGATGAGGATGGGGGAGGTGTGGAGGAGGAGGAGGGGGACGACGACAATTGCGACCATGGCGACTATGATGACGACGACGGTGACAGTGATATGCCGAGGACGGTGACGGTGATATGCTGACGATGGTGACGGCCGCGATGGCGACGACGACAGTGGCGGCGACGGCGACGACGACGGCGCGTCGCTCGCTCGCATCGCTGCCAGGTGAACCACAGCGACGCGAGCGACGGCGGCCAGAGCAAGAAGACCAAGAAGTAGGCTGCGCTCGAGCGTGTCTCGAGACTGGTCGCAGCTCCAGTTCCCTCGATCCCGATTCGGCTTCGAACGAGTTTCGGCGCGAGCTCAGCCTCTAAGTTGAAGCGCCCCCTGAGGGGCGTTCCAACTTAGAGGTTGGATCGGTCGGGAGCTCGACCGCATGGGCCGATGCGCGTTTCAAGCCGAATCGAGATCGGGGGAAATGGAGCTGCGACCAATCTCGAGAAAGCAGTTTCAGATCGGGTTTAGCTGCAGGGGTCCCTGGCAGCAGGCGGCTGGACCGCCTTGCACGGGCGCTGCCCGCATAGCGCGGGCGGCGTAACAACGACGACGTCGGCCCAGCCTGGGCCGTGCGCGCGCGTGTGAAACGCGTGCGTGCGCGTCGTCGTCGTCGTCCTCCTCCTCTTCGCCCTCCGCCCTCCTTCTGAGCCCTCCTCCTCTTGCTCCCTTTCCCCTCCCTACTCCCCCCCTCCTCTTCCCCCAACCCTCCCGCCCTGCCCTTCTCACCCCAGGGGCGGCGGCGAGGCGGGGGGCACGAGGATGGAACGAGGAGGGGAGCACGGAGGATGAGGATTGAGATTTTTGTTCAGGTTACTCCCAGGTTCGATTTGTAAGCCGATCCTACTCGGGCTGGGCCAGCCTGCCCGTGCTGTCGGGCTCTGGGGTAGGGCCCCCCCGCCAGTCTTACTACGTAGTTTCATTGGTCGGTTTCGGCATGATGGACCTCCGTCCTCCTCGCATCCCCCCCGATAGTAGTTTCATCTCAGGGGTTCGGGGTGCGCCCGTGGGGTTAGGTCCCCCATGTTCCGTTGTCACCTGAGCGATGCTGTTGGCGTCTCGGCGCTTGTTGAGGCCACCTCGGCGCTACCTCGGTGATATTGGTGCAATATTGGCGCCTCTGCGGATTGTCTCGAAACTAAATCTTCGAACGTCTTGAGAACATAGGCGACAAACAGGACTTGGCGAGCACGTTCAGATTGGTTGTTCTGATGGGGACCCTCTCAGAGTGTGTTGGGACTCTCTTGGTAATTAGGTGATTGGAGCATTATCGGATCATCTTTCGAGTCACGAGGGGGAAACACACATACAGACACAATTCATCGTCGATCCCCAGGACAATGGGGAAATATGGGAAATGGGGGGGGAAGACGAACACCCCGAACATATGGGAACATATAGGGGAATCCTTGGACGTGTGTCTACTTCTGTGTGTGTGTGTCCCTGGGCCCCTTTGCTTGAGGGCCTCGTGGGCCCTCCTCGCCGCACGCATCCTCATGGGATGCTCGTGGTGGATGCGAGGGCTCTCTCAGACCTGTGGGCATTCGAGGGGCCAATATGCCACATGGGTCATGATGTTCCAACCTACTTCAGCCTGCGCCACCAGAAAGGATTTCGAGCACCAATACAGTACCGACATTCGAGGGTTTTCACATGTCTGGCCCTGGGAGACACTCGTTCGACACTGTTTCGACATTGCTTCGATACTGTTTTGGCACTTTCCCGGGTGCTCGAAATTCGTTCTGGGACGTGGTCTTTAAATTCGATGGGAGCAACATGCCACATGGGCAGATATTGCGGGTAATTTTACGGCAGTGTTTGCGTCACGATTGCTTCAAGGTCTACCTCAAGAGCCCCAGCCACGGGCAGGTCTTGGGACAATCTTCGAGCCCGACCCCGCATGTGCCACCGTGGGGCAATCTGATAGCCTCATATTCTCATCGGAAGCAGAAGCGCGAGGATGCCCAAACTGGTGCCGTGAGCTTCTCCTTGGAGTCATCCTGGAAGCAATCTGAACCATACTCTGGCATCTTGGAGGCAGCATTTTTCCAGTGGGGGGCATATTGCATGTATACTGGGCCATCTTAGACATTCCAGCTGCCTGCGACCGCCATTGTCCAGGGGAAAGGGGAGCGGGGGCAAGGGGAAACATGTGTTTTTGCTATTTATAGGCGAGGCTCTAAGCTACCTGGGCCAGAGAGCTGTGAGATTGTGAAGCTTGCGTGTAATGTAACGCGGCACAGCAATTACACTGTCACGTGATCTCCAAACATCTGAACTGCTGGTTTCAGAAATACGATGATGCATTGCATTCGTCGCAAACGAGAGGCGGATTGCTTTTTGGCTATGTGTGGTTGATGTCTCGCAGTAGTGCTTGCACCATGCATGTTCTGACATCTGGCCGACATGCTCATGAAGGAACGTGCTGGTGGCAGAGGAGCTGGACGAGAATGTGATTAGCGACGATTCCCATCTTTTCACGTGTAACTCATGTGGCGCTTTTTGGCTCGAGGGTTTTGGCAGAGACAACCCCGCCGCAGCATCGACGCAGCAGCCATGGGCGGAAGCAAGCCGCGTGGACTAGTGCACCAAAAGCCTGTGGTCAAGATGTCCCACCCCTGGAGAGATGTTTGTTCAGGGTCTGGCGATACCCCGTGTGATCGGACCCGGCCCCCCCCCCTCCCCCCGGATAACCTGACCTGTTCCGACCCGATCCTATCCGATTTCGATGCGCCCCTGCCCATTCCTGCTCCAGTCCGATCCCTCTGGCTTTTTCTGGTTTCGATTCCGATCCGGCGCGCGGATGCCGATTCCGGTTTCGATCCGGCGTTCCCGACGTTCGTCGATTCGGGAGGAGGAGGAGGAGGAGAAGCAGGAGGAGGAGGGGGAGGAGCAGGAGGAGGAGGAGGAGGAGAACGAGAGCGAGGAGGAGTAGGAGGAAGCGGAGAAGAGTCGCGCCCGGTTCGGCTCGGTTCGGTATGTCGGATGGGTTTCTGTCCGGCCGGTTCGGTTCGTGGGCACGGTTCGGTGCGGTTCGGCTGGTTCGGGCCGAGGGCCGTTCCGGTCCGGCCGGTTCGGTTCGAGGATTGTTTTTGTTCTTTCGGGACGAGCAGATTCGTTCTCTCGGTTCGAGGATTCGTTCTTTGTTCTCTCGGTCCGGGGATAGTTCTCTCGGTTCGAGGATTGTTTTCTCGGTTCGAGGATTGGTTCTTCGGTTCGAGGATTGTTCTCTCGGTTCGAGGATTGGTTCTGTATTCTCTCGGGACGGTCAAGATGGGTACGGAAAGAATGGGTGCGATGTCCAACAGCAGTTCCTGTTCGTTTTGAACAGGACTCGCTGTCCGCGCCGTCGCGGGTGTTGTTCGTTGAAGACAAGAAGCCGCCTGCCCAACAGCGGCCGCTGTCGGTTTTGGACCACATGTGTTGTTGGGGGCATTGTACCCATGTTTTCCGTACCCATTTCGGGCGTCCAAATATTCGGTCTGGTTCGCGGCCATCATGGTTTCGCGACCAGTCTTAAGTCGGGCCTGTCCCTCCACAGGGGTGATATTCAAACATAGTCAAAACTTTTCGGATTATTTATTTTCGCTATTTTGGGGTATGTTTTGGCTATTTTTAATTTTTCGTCCAAAATCCGCCTGTAGGGGACACGCCCGACCTGAGGCCAGTCGTCGCCGTCGTACGAGATTTCGATACCGACTTCGATCCCGGCGCGGCGGATTCGATTTCGGTTCCGGTCCGAAGGCTGTTGGGTTTCCGATTACGGTCCGATCCGATGCGTAGTTTTTCGGTGGCTCCCGATCGGGTTTGTCGCCGATCCGATTTCTCGGGGGCAGAAAAGAGGGAGGTGATGACTAGGGACTGGGGGGGGGTGGTTATCATGGCGCGGGGCATGATATCTCCCCAGATTTCATGGCGCCTCTTCTCATTTCATTACGTCCCTGGCCCCTCCGCTGGGCCGCGCACATGCTGCCGGTCATGATTTGCACCCCCTCCTCTTTGACACCCCCTTTTTGCCGCTCCCGAGATTCCGAGTTTCCGATCCGGTGGAGGGTTGGCCTCAGTTGTGTCGCTCGCGCAAGTCCGAGGGGGGGGGCTGCGCGCGGGCCGACGCGGGGCTGCCCAACGCGAAAGGGTTACGTCATCGGCTCGCAACTTCCACCCCAACATCTTGGACCGTCGAGGGGCTAACGTTGGCCGTCTCGACGCTCTTGTGGATTATCGTGGTGCTCTCTGTGCGGCCTTTTGAGCAGCCTTGCGCCCGCTTGGGGGCTCAAGACGCCCTGGGAAGGCGCTTGCGAGCTCTTACGGACCCCCCCCAGTAGATTTGGATTTGGGACCCCATGGGAGGGGACAGGGTGAGGGCGACAGCCGATCATGTGTCACGTCTTGTCACCCCTGGCAAGCGGGGGTTGGCGGATGTTCCATGTATTTCTCCCCTCCCAAACAGGATCTATCATCTTCGAACCTCCCTACGATCTGTGTGTTCAGTTTATCCCCCATGTCTTAGTTTGGGGATCGTATCCTCCCATGTGCAGGATGTGAGTTGTGTTCTTAGTGCTTTGCGTAAGCCCTCGCCCCTCGCTCACCCGCTTCCCTCGCACACTCATATTCAGCTTAGTGATACTCAGGTTCGCTCAGATGTACTCAGCTTAGGCATACTCGGACTGACCCTCACTCAGTCACTCATACTTCCGATCACTCACACTCAGGCTCACTCATAGTCGGACTCGTTCGCACCCAAACTCAGTCATACTCATATCCACGCACACTCAGACTCACGCGGTCAGACCTTTCACGCTCATGCCTTAGTCAGGTTACTCAGCGCAGTCACACCTCACCTGCATTCTGTCACTCACGTTAAGTCGGGCCTGTCTCCCTACAGGGGGATTCTCGACGAAAAATAAAACAAATACCCAACAAATAGTCAAACAATAGTCCAACAATAGTCTGGGGACTATGTTTTGAGTATTTTGTTTACTTGTTCGGGGTATTTGTTGTGCATTTTCGAAAGATTGTTTCGTCGAAAATCCCCCTGTAGGGGGACAGGCTCGACTTGAGCGTCGTCATACCTCACCTGCATTCTGTCGCTCACACGTAGACCACTCGCACTCACTCCGCTCCTCGCACTGACCCATGCTCGCCACGATGTAGCAGGCCTGGCGCGGTCGCACCCCAACGAGGAGCCGCCGTCCGGGCAGCCCACGACGGGTCCACTCAACAGTTGTTGTCAAACGAGCAGTGCTATTGCGAAGGCCTTACGGCCGGTGCCGCCGACCCTGAATGGCGACGACGACGACGACGACGCCGAGCACTCTTGTGGGCCTCTTGGGGGTAGTTTGTGGGCCTCTTGGGAAGCTTTCAGGGACCGCTTGGAAGCCTCGTGGGGGCCTCTTGGAGCTTCCTGGGGGTCTCTTGGAGGGGGCCTGGGACGTCTTGGAGGCTTCTTGGACGGTCTTGGGGCTATCGTGGGCATTTTCGGCCGATTTGTGGGCGACTCGGGGCCCTCCTGGGCCGTCTCGGGGGCCATTCTGGGCATTCGGACTTCATTTGGAGTGTTTTCGAGGCGTCGAGGCCGCCCGAGGGAAAACTAATCTGCCCCCCCCCCACCCCCCCCGGGACCCCCCCCCCCGGGGAAGGGATCGAAGGGAAGGGGCTTCGCTTCGACTCGATTACGACACTGCTAGATTTTTCTCTCGCTCACGAGCTTGAGAAGGAAGCTGCAGGGAAATGGGGCGACGGAGGCGACGACCGACGGAGACGACGACTCGAACAGCCAAGCCCCTCGCACACGCCGACAGGGTCGGCGGATTCGTAAGTCGGGCCTGTCCCCCTACAGGAGGATGTTCGACGAAAAATAGAAAGTACCCCAACATTAATCAAAACATACTACAAAAATAGTCCAGGTACTGTTTTTTGATTATTCGTTGATCTTTCTTGGGTAGTTGTGGTGTATTTTTAATTTTTCGTCGAGAATCCCCCTGTAGGGGGACACGCCCGACATAATGCTATTCCCCGGGGTGAGGACAGATGCCCTCCCTCAGATGAGGCAGAACGGTGTACCGATAACCCAATGGGGGGTCCATACCGTGAAAGAGGAGTAAACGTGGGGTCGGCTATGCGGTACAGGCTCTGCGGTGCAGGCTATGCGGTGCAAGTCTTGAGCAGAACATGTTGTGCTGGAAGGAGTTCTATGTGTGTGTCGCAAGCTACGCGGTACAACATGTGTGATGAAACTAATTGGTGCCAACTCATGGGCTATCAACACCACTGCTCGCGCAATTATTCCACCCTCCCACCCGAAACTTGTTCTGCAGAATCCATGGCCCTAGCTGGCGCATCTTCGCGGCCGCTCTGGCGCGCGGATGTCGATAAGTTCAGGAGGTAGAGGGTGGTAGAGCCTGTTCGACTTGTGAAAGGAGACGCATGTGGTGAAAGTTGTGTGATGCAGATTGTTTGAGACAACCTATGTGGTGCTGGCTATGTGTTTCGAATTATGTGACATACCCAGCGCATGGGGCGCTCGCTGGGCTCAAGCACAGGCGGCCACGGGCAGGCAACGGGCGAAACCCCGACACGCCATCTCGGCCCACGGTGCGCCCACGAGGTGCCCAAGGGCGGCCACCAGACGGGCAGAGGGAAGCATTCCGACGCACCCATTCGAGCATGGTGTCCAAGGTCGCAAGATCGAGCCCCTAAGTGCAAGCACTGTTGGGTCGGCACGTATGCAGATGTGTATGCCTGTAGATGTACGTCTACGCATCTGATCTTAAGACCCATCCGAGCGAGCCAGGTGCTGTTCCCGCCCTTCGAAAGCGCATGGGCCGGCCGCCGTTGCAGGAGACACTTTGGCGAATCTATTCGTTGTCCCATCTTCAGGAGGGGAAAACACACAGACACAATGAACCGCTGATTCCGCAGAGAATATGGGAAAATATGGGAAGTGGGGGGGAGACGAAAACCCCAAAAATATGGGAACATATGTGGCATGTGTTCTATTTGTGTGTATTTATTTGTGTGTCCCAGGGCCCCTTCACGTCTGCGTTCCTCGACCGACCTCTGATCCCCGCACGCCCTGCCCTGCCCGCGCCTGCGCCCCGGCCTTGGCCCCCTCTCCCTGTGGCGGCCTCTCGGGCTTTCCTCTGGTCGAGCCGCTTCATCGCCTCCCTCTTCCGGGACACAGTCAAGTCGGGCCTGTCCCTCTACAGGGGGAACATTCAAACATAGTCAAAATATAGTCTGGGGACTATTTTGTGAGTATTCTTGGGCATCTTTGGAGCATTTTCGGGTATGTTTTATTTTTCGTCCAAAATCCCCCTTGTAGGGGGACAGGACCGACCTAAGGATATAGCCAGGACCCCAGGTAAGGGGACCCGGTTAGTGGTAGGGCCCAGGGGCCCCCGAATTTGCCAGAATCGCTAAACCAGGTCTGCCATAGCTGGTGTTTTTTCGGGTGACGGCAGTTCCGGCCAGTGGAACGGGGCGGGGTGGGCGTCCTTCAGTACACATCTCTAAACCAGATCTTGCTAAACCCAGTTTTGCCAACGCCCGACTCTTCCTCGTCCGATTCGTTCCATCCGGTTAGGTGGAATCAAGTGCGCGCGCAAGTTGGTGATTCGCCGTCGCTCGCAGCTCTGGGCGGACAAGGACTACAAGAAGGCGAGCTCACGAGGGCAAGTAGGGGAACGGGCGGAGGGTAGGAGGGAGGAGGATGACATGATGATGAGGTGCGATAATCAGTCAGAGGGAGGCATGAGCCTGAAGGCAGGGGGCACGAAACACTGGACGGGAGGCGCGAGACACGACGAGGACCATTCAGATAATGATAACGACAAGGAGGCTGAATATCAGGAACAGGACAAGGTTAAGGACAACGATGTGGATGATGATGCAGTCGGCCCGGATTAGTAGGTCGACCCTGCCAGCTCAAGGTACCCTTGTGTCTTGTGCCTCGCGACACGTGCCTTCTTACACTCCTGTGGCAGTGTGGCCCTCGGAAGGGTCTTGTGTCCTCTCGCGTGCCCTGTCCAATCAAGGCCGACTGCAGTGATAGAGGGAGAGGGCAGATCGCGGGAGGAGGAGGAGTGAGATTGAATAGATTTTCGCATCCTTTCGCAGCACCTCCTTTCACCTGGCATCGCTCGGACGTGTTCATGTTTTCTTGGCGAGAACCATCGAGGACCATCCTGGACCGTCGAGCAAAAAAAAACACGCACGAAACCGAAACATGCACAGGAAATGGACGTCCTAGCGACGGCAAGTTCTGTGGCAGCAGCAAGAAAAGGTTCCCCGCTGCCTTGAGCAAACAAGGCAGCCGATCACACAATGGATTTGAGCTCTGGCCTTTTATACGGGACGACCCTTAAGCCAAACGCACGCCTACGAGAAGATATCCATCAGATGGATCATAATATTTCCTAGGTCTATTCAACATTTCCGTACGCGCAGCACTGTACAAGACAAGTCAGGCGTTTTGGATACAGATTGAGGGCTAAAACGATGGAACACCGGTTTTCTAGATAGTTCCGTGACGTTCGATCTGTGAGCCAACCAGAGAATTTTGACGGCTTCTCGGGTTCCATTGCTTGATTGGTGTTGGCGAGACGACTGGCCAACAAAACAGGTAATTAATCCGTTATTCAGCGTGTTTCAGGGATATGGTAGGTACACCGTGACAGGTGAATAGAAGGTGAGAGAAGATATATGTGTTCGAGGTAGAGGCGTTTCAATCGTCCACGTGGGACCATCAACCCCCAAACGAGTTCGAGAAACATGGCTTTGTGCCCAACGGCAAGATCTTGCAAGGACCTTCCAATAAAACCCCGCGGCAATACATGCTCACGTGCATTACAGCCCTTCTCCTATTCAGCTTCAAGTTTGGAGACATGGACTTCAGACAAGCAGGGCACTGCGCCCGCGTGCGCGAGGAGAATCAATTCCTGGAGATCTCCAGGCGCAGTCAGCCCAAACCTGATGATGTTCCAACCTAGTGTAGCCGTCGTCACCATCGAGAACTTCGAGCACCAGGAAAGTAAGGAAGCCTGAGGCGTCTCGCGTGTCGGGCCCTGGGAGGCGACACTACTTGTTCGACACTGTTTCGACACTAGCCTGGGTGGAAGAAATTATTCCTGTGATGTGGTCCTGAAGTACGATGGGAGCAACATAACCCAAACCCCGCCACCCCTAAAAATCGGCCACAAGTATACCAATGCGCTGGGGCCTGGGATCGCGGGAGTTTGGGATCGCCCCCAGGCATCATCACGTCGGGCCTGTCCCTCTACAGAGGGAAGATTCAAAAATAGTTACAACAATTGTCTGGGGACGATTTTTCTACGATTTGTGTCAGTTTCGTTTGTTGTAACTTTTCTGAACTTTCGTCCAACATCCGCCCGTAGGGGGGGCATGCCCGACCTAAAGTTAATAGCGTTATCAGAATCGGTCGGGCGTCTTCGTAGAGATCAGAGTCTATGAGAGTTGCGTTGCGCTCATGCAGGGTCTTGGCAGGACCCTCCAATGGCTCGTTTCGATTCCTCCGAATCGATTCGATTCGACTTCGATGGCTTCTGATTCCGATTCCATTCGACTTGGGAATGCGATCTGGGCCCCGATTTCTTGTTGGAGGCATGCCAGCCTGCCGAACTCTGTCGATTTGACTTTTCCCGACTCGATTGCCGATTTCCGCCGATCCGATTCATTTCGATCGCCGTTGCGACTTATCTATTCGATTCTGGGCTCTCCTGCCAGCGCCCTGCGCTGGCGAGGACGCGCGGTTTTTGCTTTTCCGTTGACGTGTCTATTGTCATTCCGGCCCCGACGGCGCATGCGCCACTGAACGGGGGCGGCCAAGGAGGGGGGCAATGACCAGGGGGGGCGAAGATCATGGCGGGGGCCATGATATCTCTCCAGATGTCATGGCGCCTCTTCTTGTTTCGATGCGTCACTGGCGCCTCCCTGGGCCGCGCACGTGCCGCGGGACATGATTTGCGCCCCCCCCTCTTGGCCGCCCCCGAACTGAGGTTGGCTCGGGATTTCAGGCGCGTTCAGGCCAAAACAGCGCCGGCTAGAGCCAATGGCTACAGAACCCCGCTCGCTGGTGCATTCGATTTCTTTCGGAGGAGCAACGAGTCGGAAACAGAATTTTGGCCTTATCTGATTCAGTCAGGGAAGGGTTAATTTCGATATTTGTTGTTCGTTTTGTGATGAACATGTTGCGCTTCAGCCCTGCGGCGGCGATTGTTGTCATGAAGGAAGCCACTCCTTGAAAGCTACACGACTCCACGTGGGCCTGCACATTTTAAGCTGGAGTAGGCAAGCGGTTGCAGTGTGACCCCGCTGGTTACGTCACATGAACTGTGCGGGTCGAAGTTTGCCGACGCGCGCCTTTTTATTCTGGCCCGGGAAATCCTTGCTTTTAGCCTCGTGATCTCCTCTCGGGGATCCTTCAGGGGCCGGCCTGAGGCGTCTCGGGGGCCTCTGGAGGTGTCTTAGAAGCGTGTGGGGGTGTTTTGGGATCCTCGTCGGCAGACTCGGGTTATGATGTTCCAGCCTATTTGAGCCTCGATCAGCAGAAATAATTTCGAGCACCGTGCAAGTACCGAAACTGAGGGGTGTTTCACGCGTCGGGCCCTGGGAGTCGTTCGACACTGTTTCGACACCTTTCTGGGTGCTCAAAATCAGTTCTAGGATGTGGTCCTCAAGTAGGAAAGGAACAGCGTAAGCCTCCTCCCCCCCCACTATGACGTAACGGCCCTCCCCCCCCCCAGTGCGCTCCGGGCGCTGCCGCCGTGCGCACGGCGGAGGGGAGGCGTTACATTAAACCCCCCCCCTGGCCTTTCCCGCCCCCCCCTTGCAGTGCCCATTAGCGCATCTCTGGGGGTGTTTTACCAGCATTTGGGGATGTTTTTAAAAAGCATTTGGGGGTGTTTGATTATGCCCCCAGAAAAAAAAAAGACACGCGCTCCTCTGGGGGTGTTTTTTTATAAGGATTTGGGGGTGTTTTGGGGGATCCTTGGCGGCAGACCCGGGGTCCTCTCGAGCCGCATCTCGGGCCTCTTGGGGATCCCCCTGCTGGTTCTGTGGGCCGTCCTGCGGGTCTCTCCGGGCTCCCTCGTGGGCCTTCTTGGGCCGTCTTTTCGTGTGCCCTTGGGGGCTTGTGGTTCGCCACGGCCGCCCACCGCGCTCTGGCCCTGCGCGCCCAGCTGCTCATCGTCGAACTCTTCGGCGTCTGAGCGTCCTTCCTTCCTCTCGGCCGTCCCCCTTCCCTCTTTGCTCGCCGGCCAATCTGCGAGTCAGAGCCCCGATCTAGCTACACGCTGGAGCGGATTCCGCCGCCTCGCCGCCGACGAAAAAGTGTCCTGGGGCCTCGGGGTCCGTGTCGGTGCCCTGGGCGGAGGCATCCGACTGTCACATGGACTCAGGTCAGGAGGAGAAAAACACAGACACGATGAATCGTCAATTCGCAGGCAGAGATGGGAAGATAAGGGAAGTGGGGGGAAGACGAGAGCCCAGAAATCATGGGAAAATCGTGAGAATGTTGGGATTTGTGCGTGTATGTGTATTTTTTTTTTGTGTGTGTGTGTGTGTGTCCTTGGGCCTCTTGCTCAGAGAGGGCCGCCGGCGCCGAGGCCAACCTGGGCACGAAGTACAAGTGCAATCCCTTCGGCGGCACATCCCATGCCAAGGGCATCGTCGTGGAGAAGATCGGCCCTCTCTCTCTCTCTCTCTCTTTCTCTCGACCACTCTCCTTCGATGACGACGAAGACGACGACAATGACGACGACGACGACGACTGCGACGGCGACGACGACGACGACGACGACGACGGCGGCGGCGGCGGCGGCGGCGGCAACGACATCGACGACGACGGCGACGACGACGACGACGACGGCGACGGCGACGGCGACGGCGACGGCGACGGCGACGGCGACGGCGACGGCGACGACGACGACGACGACGACGGCGACGGCGACGGCGACGCGACGACGACGCACTGCGGATGCCCCAACGGGGGGGGGTGCTGCGCAGGCCCGCTGTACTCGATGACGACGACGACGACCGATGACGACGACAGCTGTCAGCGAGAGAGAGAGAGAGAGAGAGAGAGCTCTGCACGCGAGACCGGAGCCAGGTTCGCAGACCCCTGGCCCGGCCGGCCGCCTTTCTGTCAGGCTGCGCCGTGACATGCGCAGCAGCACAGACAGCACCAGACATTGTCATCAACATTGTCATCTCTCTCTTCCCTTCTGGCTTCCTCGTTATCCCTCTTTCTCTTTCTTTCCCTCTCTTGTTTTTTTTGTTGCCTCTATCTCTCTCTCTCTCTCTTTCTCTCTTTCGGAAAAGAAGAATCGCTATAAGCATAAACTTTTGGCGTTCCTCGCGGATTTCTTGGATCTGCGCTGGCCCCACCCAGGCGGCGCCTCCAGCGCCGCCCCTGGCGCGTTCCCCGCACCAGGGAGGGGGGTCCAGCGCAGATCAAAAAAATCCGCGCGGATAACGAAACTCTTATGTTCATAGCGTTTATTCTTCTACTTTCTCTCTCTCTCTCGCTTATTGTTTGGCTTTCTCGTTTTCCCTCTTTCTTTCTTTCGCACGCTGCCTCTTCTGACCGTGCTGAAGGCGGTGAGAAACTATGTACCGACCGTCAGCGATGATGCCTAGCAGTACTTCACATCATGCCCCTTCGTATGTCTGAATGTGATGCTGTCGGGGTCCTCGCTCATCTTCTGCTGCGCATCCAGTCTCCTGTTCCGAAGCCCTCACGTATGTTTGTTGTCATTCGACTCGGAGGAGGAGGAGGAAAAGGAGAGGGAGGAGGGGGTGGAGGAGGAGGAGGAGGAGGAGGCGGAGGAGGAGGAGGAGGAGGAGGAGGTGAAAGAGGAGGCGGAGGAGGAGGAGGAGGAGGAGGAGGAGGAGGAGGAGGAGATGAAAGAGGAGGAGGCCTCTGAAAGAGAGTGGGGCCTCCAACAAAAAAGGGGCGTCGCAGCACGGGCGTGGCGGAGCGGCTGCCTCGCCAGTTCGGCGCCTTGCCCGACCGGGCCTCGGGGCGGCCGAGCGCCCACCGCCTCTCCGGGAGCGCCCGGCCCACTCCTGGGGCACACGCGCGGCGCCCTGCAAGGGCGGAGACGAGTGGGTTGCAGGCGGCCCAGGTTAGTAGGTCGACCCTGCCAGATCAAGGTTACCCTTGTGTCCTGTGTCTCGCGACCCATGCTTCCTGCATTCCTGTGGCAGTGTGGCCCTCGGAAGGGTCTTGTGTCCTCTCGCGTGTCCTGTCCAATCAAGTCCGACCGCACCAGTGTGAACATGTCCCCGTCCCTGCGTGTGGCATTCCAGTGGGGGCGCGCATCAAGGAGCCATCTCTATTTTTCGTCAGGGCACCCTGGGTTTCTTCGCTCCGCGCGGTGCGCGGTGGCTTCCCGCGGCCGTGGAGGGAGCTGCTGCGTTCGGGCTTTTCTGGGTTTCCCGCCCAGTGGCACCTCGCGCGCGGGTTTTTGTTAGGAATGGGTTTCTTGCGAGTGCTTCTTGCGACCGCGCCCGCGCTGTACCTCGCCTCGATGCCGATCCGTAGGGTTTCCTCAGTCTTCCGAGGGCTCATCCCCGAGGTCGTCTTCGCTTTTTTGCTCGCCCATCTCAGGGGTAGGGATCAGCTCGAGGCTGGTTAGTGTGAGGGGGCGGCGGGGTCGTCGGCAGTGTGCGAGGCTCTGAAGAAGCCCGCCGCAGGCACAAATCTTTGGCAGTGCGCATCGAGCCCGCCGCAGGCGCCGATGCTCAGTCCACGCAACGTGGGTGGGCCGCGGGGGGGGTGCGAGGTGGTTCGCGGGGAGGTCGCAGGGGGGTCGCTGGGTGGGTCGCGGGTGGGTCACTGGGGCTTGCGGGCGAGTACGGTTTTTTTAAGATTGTTCGTCCTTCGTTGCTCGCTTGTGATTCGACATGCATATCCAAGACCCTCGATGCCCGCCCTCGTCGTCGTGGATCGCACCCTCTCTGGTTGGAAAACCTTACTTCCCGGCCACGTGTGATTGGCGCAGACCTTGAGACAGGATGAAGGGCACGAGTGGAGAAGGAAGGGAGCGAGGAGGAGTGGAGTGTAGGAAGAGAGGGAGGAGGGAGGGGGGCAGGAGGGCGGGAGGGAGGAGATGGAGGACGAGAGGGAGTAGAGAGGTGATGGCAATCACCGAGCGCGTTCCACTTCTCGCGAAGTGCCTACTCGCAACCGTCCGAGAAACACATGTCTGTTTTGACGTAATTGATCGTAGATCCCCCGCGGCGGATCCGGGTCATTTGTGAGTAGTTACTTTGCGAGTACTGGAACGCGCTCGTCTAAGGAAGTCTCGAGCGACTGCGCGGTTCCTGAGTAGACAATGAGGCAGCCCCGAGCAAGGGCGTGATTCCAGAGCGCCGAGGGAGCGATTCGTGCATACATCGCACGGTGGTCTCAGGCCAGAGCGCGCACCCTTCACACAGTGCAGAGGGGTCTCGAGCGGGAGCGCGACTCTGAAGACACTACGAGGAGGTATCGCGCGGGAGCCGCTGTGGTTGTCAGCCGGGGGCCCGGGGGCACGGTCTGAGGCCCAACATCCGCCCGTATAGAGGCACGGTGCGATCCCCAGGAGGGGCACTGCAATGGAAAAACATATATTACCGGAGGGGGGACCGACCAGCTGATCATGTTTTTGCACATGAAAGTGTTTAGCAACGGCAGCTCGTTCTCATCTGTTAGTGCGCCAACCGGTATGCGTATCAAAAACCGTTGATGCCCGCCATTAGCGTCTTTGCTCGTACCACCTTTGGAAGGATATCTGATCTCCCTTGCGTGTGATTGGCGCAGCCCTTGAACATGAGGAACACTAATAATGTAGAAGGGAGGGAGAGAGGATTAATGGAGTGGGGGAAGGGAGGAAAGAGGGAAGGGGTCAAGAGGGAGGGAGGGAGAAGATATGGATAACGAGAGGGATTAGCGAGAAGGCTTAGCAAGAGGGGATGGCAAGGCAGCCTCAGGCGAGGAAGTCCCGAGCAAGAGCGCGATTCCAGAGCGCCGAGAGAGCAATTCGTGATTCAATTAAAACGGAAGTCTCATGCGAGAGGTCGATTTCTTTATACATTGCATTGTAGTCTCGAGCGAGGAAGTATCAGGCGGGAGCCGCTGCTGTTGTAAACCAGGGACCAAGGGCACAGTCCGATGCCCAATACTTTCTGTAAAGAGCATGATGCGAGCCCCAGGGGGGGGCACTCACGAAATTAGCCAGGACCGGCAGAATCAGACGAGAGGGTCGGGTGGGCGGACCCTCATGTCAGATATAGCCAGGACCCCAGGTAAGGGGACCCGGTCAGTAATAGGGCCCTGGAGCACCTAAATCAGCCAGAATTGCTAAACCAGGCCTGCCGTAGCATGTGTTTTTTTGTCGGGTGACGGCAGCTCCGGTCAGTGGAACGGGCGGGGGGGGCGTCCCCCAGTGCACATCATTAAACCATGTCCCATTAATCAGAGCGTGAATTACCTACCCCGGTTTCGCTTCCAGGCAAAACCAAGTCATACCACGCGCCTCCTCGTCAAGCGACCTGACCAGTACAGGCCGTAGTTTGACATCGTTTGGTATCTCTTGGAAGCGAGGGTGGTCAAAAGCGAGGTAGGTTTGTTTTCCCCCTAATGAAACCCAGTTCTGCCAGCGCCCGATCGTGGGCGGGTCGGATGGGCGGGCCCACGCTGCCGGGTCGAGCGGGCGCGTCTCTGCAGCTCCAGTCCTGCACGGGTCGCGAGGAAGGCTCGAGGGATAGCGCTGTTCCCGAGGCAATCGTGAGGAAATGCAGAGCGAGAGCGTGATGAACCCTGAGCGTCGAGGCCGCGGCGTCTCGATCTACATATATATATATATATAGAGAGAGAGAGAGAGAGGAAGTCTTACGCGAGAGCGCACTTTGCGGTCAGGTTGTGAGAAAGTGCCGCTGGGAATCGATACCAGATTGCTTGTAAGGAAATATCGGTCGAAGGAAAAATACATACATATAAACTTTTGGCGCTCCGCGCGGATTTCTTGGATCCGCGCCTGGGCCCCCCAGGGGCGCCTCCGGCGCCGCCCCTGGCGCGCTCCGCGCGCCAGGGAGGGGGGTCAGCGCGAATCCAAGAAATCCCCGCGGAGCGCCAAAAGTTTATGTTTATGTTGTGTTTTCTTCTTCTAATCAGGCGGGAGCCGCTGTCGCTGTAAACCTGGGGGCCACCAACACAGTATGAGGTCCAATGCTTGTTTTTGTTTAATCTAAGCTGCGAGGCCCCAGAGGGGCGTGCACATTGAAAAACAAAATGGGCACCGGAGGGGGGCATCAACAGTAATTAATTGCAGACAATTACGGCAAATTATTGAATCGCTTCGCTCATTCCGCCGGCCCGTGATATGGCATCGCTGGTTTTTGTCTGTGTGTTCGTTGCCCATGTTGCGCTCTTGGGGGCGGGTGTCGTTCGGACGCGTTGCGTGGGGAGTTTTGATGGTGAAGCAGTTCCCTGGGGGTCGTCTCTCGATGGGGCGAAATAGAGTCGTCGTCAAGATGCTTCTTTGGGGGGCCTCTTGGGGTCTGTTGAGAGGCCGTTCGGGGGCGCCTGGGAGACATGTTTGAAGCCTTCTGGGGCTTCTTTTGGGCCTCCTGGGAGTCTCCTGGGGCCTCTTGGCGACATCTTGGGGCCTCTTGGAGGCCTCTTGGGGCCTCTTTGGGAC